TGGAATTTCCCCATTGTGGGACAAATAAAGGAATATCTATAATAGTGGTCCATCAACCATCATGTTATTATATTATTTTCTCTGACTGGAGAGCTTGCATTTGAATTCACAAGGCGGTTAGTGTAGGAAACTGGCTGATCAATACAGATAAAATAATAAAAAATAAAAACATATATATAATATAACATAAAAATAACCATTTACTAACTTCAATCCAAAACCCTGAACCGTGTGCTCCTACAGAGTGCGGACCCTCGCAATCATTAACCGCGTTCACTTGACCTTTAGCGCCATCTCGCGATTAAAGCTGCGTAAGAGGCGTTTTGCGGATACGTCATCACGTAAACATTCTGTTGACGTGGCGTGAGTGGTAGCGGTAGCAAATCAACGGTAGCTAGCAGGCAGGTTGCTAACAAGCCAGAGGCAAGGTGAGGGCGAAGGTACTCCCGTGGAAGTATGGATATTATTCAGGTCAACTGATCGATCGGCGCTCACCTCTCCAGGTAAGGAGTCGTGGTGTCATTTAGCAAGTGGGACCACTGACCGACTGAAATGTACCAAACGTTACAAAGCCACAGAGCATTAGGTGAACCCTGGTTAGCACTAACGCTAGCCTAGCATGTGCAGACGCTTCTTCGCTGTTAAACACCTCGCTGTATCAGTACAAGAGCAACCTGACAGCTCGGTAAAGCCATTCGTCTGTAAAGGGTTCCTCGAGTTACGCCGTTATTCCGGTCGGATAACGGGGTCGACTGGAGAGAGCGACGTGTAGCACTGTGTTGTTGTGTGGCCATGTTATTTGCGTGGCTAATCTGGATTTTTAGCCACGGTAACGTAACTCTTTGCGAGCTCAGCCAACATTAGTTAATCCCACCTGTGTGTGCTTGTTAAATAAGATGAATCTCCGTGCGCGTAAGGTCAACGCCTTCGATTGGTAACGCTAACATCACCCTGAGGTTGGTCGGGATCATGTTATCTGGTTTAAAGTGATCAGTCATTTAGAGTGAAGTCTGCTTTGCTCATAGATTACAGCTATGGGTATAAACGTTATCTGACATGTAACGTTACATAAACAGAGGACTTTGACACCATGAAGACTGAACGTACTGCCTGTAATCTCACTTATCATATCGGTTAAGAGGCCCGACTTTATCCGTGGTAACCCTAATTTGAATGCTCGGGACTGCCACACACATAGACTGTAGTTTGTGTTTCAGCATGCTAAACAACGTGAGAATTTAAGGTATAAGTGAAGTTTCGCCTGCACCTGTTAAGATCAGATAAGATCAGATATTCCTTCAATGGGGAAATTCCAATCTTGCAGCAGCAAAGCGGATAGAGAGAAACAAAAACAAAACAGTATAAAGACAGTTTAAGAACATAAACACTGTACAAGAGAGAAAAAACATACATAGGCCAGCTTTCATTCAGTGTTTATGAGTTGTTTATCACAGTTGGGATGACACCGGTGGCTGTAATGGTACAGTGTTCTTCATAAAGATGTCCTCTGTCACTTTTTCCACTTTGCCGTCCGCTGGTGAAAACAGTGACATCATGGCTTGTTTGCATTGCATGAATACATATTTCACAGGATAATCCTCCGCGGTTTTAAGATGTTCATTGAGTTTAAACGAGCATTTAGTTGTTGGACTCAGTGAAGCAGCTGTTTTCCGTATTACCTTCCTTCAGGGTAAATAAAACCTTGCTGGTATTCCCAAAAGAATGTGCTGTTCAAGTTCAGGATTTGGTACTCAAGTCTGTCTCTGCTCTTCCCAACACAGTGAAGAAAAAATGTCCAATAGAAGCCAGCACTATGGATTCCAGACAGCCACCATGGTGCAGCCTGCCAATGGCGGTCATGCCTATCTGTTTGGGAACAATGGCTCAGAGAACGACCTATCAGAGGAGGATGGGGAGAATTATGAGCTGCGGCCACGTGGCAGGGAGAGGCTACGGAGGAGCACCTCCAGAGAGAGGATGGAGGATATTATCTACCTGACCAGAGACATCCAGGAGGGGGACACCCTGAACAGCATTGCCCTGCAGTACCATTGCTCAGTACGTCTGTGCTTTGACCTGTGTGTGTGTGTGTGTGTGTGTTGGTTTGCCTGTATGCAGAAAGACAGGCACACATCTGTCTTTCTCTCTCTCCTTCATTTCCATGTTGAGGTAGACTTAGATCTTATTGCTTCTTTTACATTACACATGTACACAAACGTTCCTAGCCCTTTACGCAATCATACATTTATACATTTGTTAGTCTGTAGAATTATAAAAAAAGACATGCACAATATTAGTTACCAGGGTCTCAACTCATTCCCTCAAAATAAATGCTTTATCTAACCAACAGTCAAACAGTTTATTATAATAAATGTTAATGTGAAACAACTTTGTCGTTCTAAAATGTGATGAAAGAGGCCACTTGTAGTGATCAGCCTGTATAGAATTATCAGATTAATCTACAGCTGCTCTCGCTTTATGGAAAGTTTCAGCACATTGTTTAGTTGTCTTCCGGCCTGCAGATTTACCGTTTTGGTTCCTTCTTACCACTCTCTGTTATCAGCGAACAAGCACTACAAAACCCCACTGTACACTACTAGCTCGGCACCGAATGGCAGACAGCGATTAGTTGGTGAACATAATGGAGCATTCTGTAGCTAAAGCCAGAGATTTCCCTAAAAACTTGGTAGAAACCAAAAACGGAGCCAAAAAGAGAATGAGTATTGGACTTAAATTCACCAGGTGGCCAGAAACACGACTCCAAATGTGTGATAGTTTTGCCTGAGAGGCCAAAAAACACATTATTGTAGAAAGTATAAAATATAATTAATTAGTTAGTATGTAAAATAATTCAGGTATACAATAGACAGCCTAATTAAAATGTTTTTGGCTGTTAAATGATGCTTCTGTACTAAATATGATTTAGGTAAATATGAGTAGTTTAGTACAGTTGCATTCAACAAAAACACATTTAGAACATATTCAAGTTATTCAATTGAGTTGAGAGGTCTCAGTAGTAAAGTACTTTAATTAATAACTCCTAAATACTAATTTGGGTAGCTTTACTTTACAATCAAATCACTGCAATTGTTGATTGATACATGTATCGTGCATTCTTCTTTGCAACAAGCACAAAGGCTGCCATTCGGGTTTAGTGGTTGACTGAGAATCCAGAATATTCAGATGACAGTAAATGTGAAATAGCAATTTGTGTCTGTGGGCAGCATAATTAATATATGTTTCTTGTGTTTCCTAGGTGGCTGATATAAAGCGTGCCAACAACTTCTTGACAGAGCAGGACTTCTTTGCTCTACGGTCAGTCAAGATTCCTGTGAGGCGCTTTAGCGTTCTCACAGAGACTCACAGCGCTGCACCCCTCAAATCTGCTTCCCCCTCAGGTGCCAGGCGCTTGCCCCAGATCTCTTCCATTACCTCCTTCCCCTCTGAGTCCTCCACAGACTCTTCCTCTTCCAACGACAGCGTGGAAGGATTCCTCCAGGAGAAGGACAAGGACATCGAGCGGCTTGTGAAATCCACAGGTCCGTCTCGGAGCAGTCTGAATGAGGTTGTGTCCTCCTTAACACTGCAGCAACAGCAGCCACTGCTAGGGGAAGTAGAGTATAAACCAGCACAGAGAAAGGACCCTTATTATGGAGCAGACTGGGGCATGAGATGGTGGACGGCTGTGGCAATCATGCTGGTTGTAGGAATTGTCACGCCCGTGTTTTATCTGCTGTACTATGAGGTTCTCATGAAATCTGATGTCAGCCACCATGGCAATCCTACACCGGCTCATGGCGACATGCCTCACGGACATCTCCATGGCAAAAAATTGGACCAACCAGTTGGAGAAGACAACCATGCAGGGGCTGGATCTGAGCCTCTTAATGGAAATGTGGTTATTGGAGATCCACAGGGACCCGGTGTGAACAAAGCAGGAGACGTTAAACACGGAGGGCATGAGAAAACATAAGGGATTCAAACTTTACACACAAATGTGTTGCTTACTCAGAGATGTAATAAAACTGGGTGGATGTTCCCATTTTGAGTAGTTTTTATAGATTTAATACATCAATGCAATTTATCTAACTGAGGCTGTCACTTTATACAGTCATTTTCACAGAGTTGAGAGACTATAAGTAAGAGTGTGGCCACAGTCATTCCTTGTGTCTGTCCATTGACATTTAAATGATTTATAAAGGTATAATTGGGGTGAAATTAACACGATGTTCTTGGCGGAACTTTTTAAGAACGATGGATACACTACAGAGTTGCTATTATCAGTGTAGCTAATGAAATTGAGGTGATGTTTGTACTATTATCAGTGCTGATGCATTCTCAGTGAGCTACACAGCAACCTGGAGCGGCAGCCACAGGCCACACAGAGAGAATCATTGTGAGAAGAATTATGTGGATTTGATCTTAAAGCGGTTATTAACTCTGTTTGGTCCATTTTTGCAATGTTAGAAATTATGTATTTTCAAACTCTATTGCTGCCATTGTGTTTAATATAGAATTAATTTATTTCAAGACTATTGAGCATTAGCCTTTACTTACACTATCAGTATTTGGAGTTAGGAGTTAAAATAATATTTTGGATTTTCCATGAAAGTTGCTTGAAATTTTTTCTTATCCTTTAGCTTGCCTGGAGAGAAGTGCTTTTGTTTTTGTTTTTAATTTCAAAAAACCTCAAAGAGCATGGTGAGGAAAATGGGGAAATGCACAGTATTCCCACAATGACTCATACTTATGATTATGTGAAATTTTAGACTCTTGTTATATAGCTCTTTTATTTTATCACTGTGGTTGCTTGACACTTCATGAAAAACATTACGTGTTGTTGACAGTACGTGCCTTTCAACCTGTGGAAATGTGCTACAGGCAGGAAAATAAATACATCTATTTTGAATAAATTATTGCCAGTATACACATAGTTGGCATTTCTTATTTACATTAAGTCCTGAAGGAAAGATTGCCTCTCAGTATATAACAAAACAAAGCAACGCAAACAACCATTACTCTGCTAAACATTATTTCCAGCTTATCTCCAATAATAACCAACAGACACGATCACATAGTGATTGTTTGCTTGGATGAGTCACACTGTCTCAGTATGTTGCTTCGCCATCCATATTTTCATCACTGTCTGGAGCAAAGTCTTCACCATTGTCAAAATAGCTTTCAATGTAATCGTTGTCCTACAGAGAAACAGAGCAAACAGAAAAATGTTAAACTCAGCTTCTTGCATATCGACCATATTACATTTGGATTTAACAAATTTGGCAGATTTTAGGTTATCATGTGTAATCTAACCTCTTCAATATCCTCTTCTTCATATTCTTCTGCTTCAATTTCTTCCTCTTCATCCTTATTCCCTGTTTTCTTTTCGGTCTCATCATCTGATTTTTCAGGGTTCCCATCATCTTTCTTTGCCAGTTCCTGAAATATTGACATTAAGGTGAAATTACTTATGTAAAACATTTGCTATCTCAAACAGACAAACATAGTTCTTGGTGAATACATATACATCTTGAGCTCATATTTATAAATAGGTACCTAATAAATCACATCAAGAGAAAATGTAATGCTCAGTTTTTGAGTAAGTGAAGAAAGGCTTACTTCTAATTTGCTCAGTATAGCCTCTGTTTCTTTTCGTGATATCTTCACGGGTTTCTTCTTTATGCCTGTTGGATTCAAACATTTGGTGTTTATTCGTACAGCCATAAGATAGAATCACATACATACACAATGGCTTTAATATACCTGGTTTGGCATGAGGTTTTTTCTTCTGGGGCATCAATTCTTTTGGGAAGAGGTTCCAGTCTATAAAATATCAAGAATAGTATTTGCATTATTTTATTTTTTTCTGAACTTCCTGTAATCACATGACAGTATATTACGCAAGTACCTGGAGTCCATTCCTCATCATCCATCTGGCTTTGCTTCAGGTATCTCTCTGTGTATTTCTCCACTTCTGTTTTATGTAAACAAGAGAAAGTCCTGCTTCAGTACACTCTTAAACAAGTCCCAATTTGCTCTCACATCACATACGTTAATCAGAACCATGACTGAATCAACACATACCACTGGGTGCTTGAATATAGAGTGAGCAATTGTTGATAATACATGATTTATCCAGTGTAATTACATCGTAAATCCACAACTTACCGATATATTTAGCTTCTCCCTGAATAGAGAATTCTAAGAGGCCCTATCAGACCAGACCATAGAAATTATATTAAAAACTGTCAGTGTAGGCAGCAGCTGTAACTCAATATTCTGCCATAAAACTGCCTTTCCCAGATATCACCCTTATTAAATGTCTCAGTTCCTGAGTGCTGCATTATCTTCCCTCACAGTAGCCAATTGTCTTGCCATAGCATTTCTATTAGATGCCAGGTTTCTAATGCACTCCCCCTCACCTGCTTTATTGGTCTGAGGCTTGATGTTGTGTGGTAGCCGCTGCATCGTCCCCCTCATCTCCTGTTTTAAGGCCAGCATGTAGTCCTCATCCTCGCCAGCTTTCAGCGGCACTGGCTTAAAGTCTGTGTTCTGGAGGAAGATGGATAGTAGAAAGGAGATAATAGCACTATGGAGAACGTGTCAGCGTTTTTGAACAATTATGCATTTATTAATGCAGTTTCAGTATTACATTTGAATTCTAACTGAGTGTCATTACACTGGTTGTTTACAGTAAAATTATGTACAGTAAAATGGTACCAATTTGTACTAAATGAATCCCATACTTAAAAGATCGTAGACTGAACGAAATGATGTAGGGGACAACTCAAATGAACCCCAGGCTGAATTTCAACCTGCCAAATAATGGTGCACAGCCCTTTTGGTAGAAATAAGAAAAAGCTGTCTCAAAATATTGAGCGGTTAGAGATAGAGTTATTAAAATTGGAGAATCAGTTGTCATGGGGACTTGTGACGTGTTATGTATTATATTACACACACCTTTCAAAAGGTTTGCTCCTGAGGGCCCCCCAGTATTGGTTTGTTGTAATTTGTTTGGGACTATATACCACCAAATCACAATATCATAGTTGGCCTGTGTGCAAAACATATTGAAGCTGTTATGTGTAATGTGCTGTGTGTAATGTATTTGAATACAAGAGGAAACACGCACAACGCACAACAAGTATGAGGAATGGGAGTCAACTGGGGCCCAAAACTCATTTTTTCCTTGTGGCCCCTGATTTGCTGCATCATGCAGAAATGGAAGCATCCTACAGCAACTATAAGTTTGTCTGCTATAGGGTGGGTGGGGTGCTCTGGGAAGAGACGCTTAATGGGACATTGCTTTTAAAGTGGTGCAGGCTCTTAACATTACCATGATGAATATTATTTTAATTTATGCAAATACAGCATTATTTAAATAGAATATAACCTACACATTTTCTTAAGTCTACTTTTGAAATGTCATGCAGATTTCACCTTAGGTTCAGGTTTGAATTCCTCCCTCTCTGAATACTTTGAGGACTTATAGATGAATATAAAATACTGCAATGTGATATGTCATCGTGGGTTCTCTCCATTTGTGTGTGTGTGTGTGGTCGGTACTTACTGGAAACAGCGGAGTGGGCCCCACCCTGGCTTCTGGCATGCTGCCCCTGCCGATGCCCAGAGCCTCAATGTTGAATGTAAAGGCAGCTACTCCACGACCCTTGCCTGCCATGGCTGCAAGCCTCCTCTGTACCTGCAGCACAGAGTCCACATGTCTCCAGTCAACTTCACTATCAAACACGTGTACACACAACAAGTTCATGTTCCACAGCTTTCATCGCCTTTTGTCTGACTTTGCCTCCTAATCAACACTGAAATACTACATAAGAGACTTAGACAATACACAATAAGTTGTCATACTCACTATGGGACTAATGTGGAGACGTAAAATCCTAAAAGTCTGTGTAATACAGGGCTATTCAGCGGCATTTAGCCGTTGCTAAGACTCCATGTTTTCACTTTTCGAGTTTACTTGTCATTAACATTCAACTACTCCGTTTTAGTTGTTCGGCACGAAAACGAACTCTTGAAATCGCAATATTAACAGGAAAAGCCCTGATGGAGAGTTTGTACTGCTTTGCTAACACAAACCTCAGCTCACACTACTCAGCACTATGCGTAAATGTGGCTTTAAGTCGCCCCGCCCCTCCGTGACGCTGGAGAAGGCGTGACCTATTTACAGCCAATAGTAGCGCGTCTCAGTCTGTCGTCACTCAGCTGCTCGCCCAATGAGCACGCTCTCCTGCAACAAGGGTGTGTCAGCGGCCACCATCACGTTAACCTCAATGAAAACACATCACCTCTAGCTAAAGGGCTAGTTTACACCTCTCCGCCGCAAAAACAGCTGACAGCACGACACCCGCAGCAGGTTGCTTCGACTAGTGCATGAACTGGGATGTCTGCAGCCGACTGGTACGCTCACAAATCGCTCGGAGACGGACTATTCTGGATCCAGGAGCGATTCTACCAGTCAGACAACCGGGCCAACATCTGGCTGCTCCGGGGCTCGCACCAGGACGTGGTGATAGACACTGGTCTGGGCTTGAGGAGCTTACCTGAATACATCGACGGCAAGGGGCTGCTGGGCAAAGATCCGCAGAGGAAGAACCCGCTGCTGGCCATCGCCACCCACGCCCACTTCGACCACTCGGGCGGTCTGCATCAGTTCCAACAGGTGGGCGTCCACAGCGCCGAGGTCGATGCTTTGGCCAACGGGGACAACTTCGAGACGGTCACCTGGCTCAGCGACCGGGAGATAGTCGAGGCTCCCAGTCCAGGATGGAGGGCAAGGCACTACAAAGTCAAGGCTGTGCAGCCCACGCACATACTGCAGGAAGGTCGGTAGGAGAATTTGCAGATAGGATTTATTGTAGGGGAATAGATTTGTGATTAAAGGCCAGGTCGTAAGGTCTAAATGCATTTGTCAAGAGATAAGCATCATGGTCGATACCATTAGACGATAGTCAGTGGGGGCGCCTGGACTACAGAGTGCACATTATTCTCTGTGCAGAAGCCTTTATATACCCACAGGAGCATTTCACCGCCCAATGAATTTTACACAAGACCAAAAATGACTTGCTAAATGAATGCAGACACACACACATGGCCTTCAGATATATACAGGCATGTAGCACCTGTAGTGGAGGCAGTGGAGAGGTACCATATGAGATGAGGGGTACTGCATGATGGATGGGGCACATAGCTTATGATATAAAGGATGTTGTATTTGCTAAGACAGGGCTACAATATATGGTGTTGGCCAGTGTGAATATGTCCTATACATACCATGAGATTCAATATGTGACAATACATTGTTTTTTTGTTGGTATTTACAATCAGTGCTCATTCTTATTTGTGGAGCAACTCTATTTTAGGCTTGTGTGCTGATGACTTGATGTTATGTTACTTCCAAGCCTAGAAAGAAGAAGAGCATGCAGAGGGGCCACACTTATGGAAAGCGCTCACAGATAATTATTAACCTCACAGCACTGCATTAGCAATCACCCACTGTGCTTTTAGTAGACCAGATCAATTACTAAGATATTAAACTTACATTCTGCTGCACAAAGCTAAGGATGATGCATTTGGGATGAACAGCTTTGTTTTTGTGGAAATTTGGACCAAACCCAACCTGTTAGTATCTTTAGCATTCTTATAGAGTGTAATTTCTGCACCATCGGTCAATACACAGACTTGTTCTGCTGTGTCAGATACGCTGCTGCAGTGCAGATGGAATATCTCATTGCCTGCCGTGTCAGTTTCACCCTCCTGTCACACAGTGCGACTTATACTTGTTTTGGACTAAGTCAGTTATATACAGAATGGCCTAGACTCTGTACACCAAAGTGCAACAAGGCTTAATATCAGCAAGCCAAATTGTGGCAGAACATAAGGACTTAGCTTGGATGTAAGTGAAACTGGAAGTTATACTATGTTTTTATGTGTAAATGATTGTGAAAATATGACCCCATCTCTCCCTCTCTCCTGTATAGGTGATGTCATCAACCTGGGTGACAGACAGCTGACGGTGCTCCACATGCCCGGTCACTCTCGCGGCAGCATCTGCCTCCATGACCATGACAATAAGTTGCTTTTCAGTGGAGATGTAGTGTATGATGGCTCCATGATTGACTGGCTGCCCTATAGCCACGTCAGTGACTACATCAGCAGCTGTGAACGCCTGGTGGGGCTGGTGGACAGCGAACAGGTAATGCTGAAACCCGATAGATGGTGGCCTAACCATTTCTGCTCATAGTTCCAGTGTCTTGGGTCAGATTAGTTGAGCTTTGATGCACAAGGAATCCAATCCCATAGTTTATACACTAAATTCATAATAAAAAATGTCACACGGAAGTGTCCATTATATGTACATTTTAGGTGCTGAGCTAACTTTTTTTCACTACCCTCAGTAACAATTTTACCAATGATTTTCTAGCAAATATATGTTGGGAATGAAAAATAATAAGAAGACGATTCCATGTAAATTAAAAGATTTACCAGAATTGGTTTTACAGCTTCATCATCTTAAAATCTGAGCTATGTACCATGTACTGATGGATTCAGTTGGTACCCAGAGAAATGGTGCTTTACTGTGCCACAACTCATGATTTACTCATTTATATAGCATGTACAGTACATCATTTTAAAGTGTTTGACAACTGGCAAATTCGTTAAACAGGTTGACCAAGTCCTCCCAGGACACTACAACACATTTGGTGCGAAGCGGCTTCATCGGATTGCATCCTCATATATCAGCAGAGCTGGAACATGCCCTGCAAAGTTCTCCACATTTGCCTGGAGTACTCTGGCTGGGGTGGCTCTGCGGGCATGTAATCCACGGAGCGCCTGCTAATGAGAGGGGATCATGGAGTTGGAGGAAGCACAAGTGCACAAAGAAAATGTTTAAACATGGAGGACATGAAAGAGGATGAAGAGAGGAGAGGAGGGGAGACGCCCCTCATTTATCTGTAACTTGATGTAACATTGTTCATTTACTTATGTAATCCAACAAAAATCATATAATTGCCAAACTTTGTGTAAAATTCCCCTATTGGGTTACATAAGTCAATAATCAGCATCATATGAAGCATATAATATAAAGTATTTATTATTGTGATTCTGTTCTATACTGATCAATATGTATTTGTTGGGTTGAATGATTATATGTATGTTTTTTTATACTTTAAGCAGTTGTTACAATAGCACAACAATGGTACAACTCTGCACCGCAGACAGAAAGCAGGGACCTTTAGGTTCTCCTGAGACATTTGAATCAGTCAATATGGCCATGGTATTTCTCTATGCATTTTACAATGCTCAGTGAAGACTTAGTGTCGACTACCTCCAATGTTTGTAACAGTGCTTTGTACTATTGACAAATCTGAGGCTTTGCTATCAAACATTGACAATAAAGCATCTGATCTACCTGCCTTTCTTGATGCTTCTACAAGACAGACAACGTCTATAGCTTCTATATGGAAATTTCATTTCACATAAGATGGGATCTCCTGTGGGATTTGTCACTGGAGGGAGAAAGATAGAATACGATCCATCATATGCTCAAAGTGCAGAGTACTTTACTGATCTAACAGAAAGCCCTTCCACTGCAGGAAAACGTTTGCATGTTGGAAGAGAAATTATGTTTCTCTGAACCTACTTTTGTAGTATATCATACAGAATTTAAATACAGTGGGGTGTTTGCCTGTTAGCAGTCTATGTTGATGTATTCTGTCCTAGTGTTATTATGAGCAAGTAAGGTATTCATATATATCAAAATGTAGTAGTTAGTATTATTGATTTGAACTTAATAGGCCTTACCATTGATAGATTTACAAGTAATATTTATTGAAGAGTTCAAACGATTGTATTTCATGTAGACAACAATTATGGGAATGTGTGAAGAAACAGACTCAGTGGTGAATTGATAAAACATTTATTATAATTAATGTTATATTATTTTAACATGAGATTTCCACATTTCTCATTTTATGTTTGCCTTCTAGGACGGTGCTCATGCAGAACACAAAGCCTGCTAACACGGGAAACTTGCAATGTTATAACATTCAATGTTATCTATTTGTAACAGTTAAAAAATCTGCACATCATCTGTTAACATTATGATAATCAGGTATCAATATAGCTGCATTTATAACAAAATCAATAATGTAACAAAAGACAAAGAGAGGAGGTTTATTTGTTAACTTATAAAAATTAATTTACAGTAACAAATGCTTGTTTGTTTTTTTTTCAAACATTTGACAGTTTAGTAGAAATGGTCGCCAGAGTTCTGAGCCCCAAGAGGGAAACTGTTACCAAAGTAAAATCCACAGTAAACAACAAAGAGAGGGAAGAAGAGGCTTTACTGCACTGACATACTCTCCTATAAGATTTGTTTTCACATGGACGCCTTCAGTAGAATGTTTCTGTTGTTAATAGTTGTCTAAATTACAATAACTTACATTATTAAAAAAACAGGTGGCGTTGTAAACAAACGATTTTATTCTTGCTCTTACTATCATAACCTAATGATTGACTGGGATTTAAAGTAAGTACTTGTTTTTTATAGAAAGTTGCCTACAATACAGCCACCATAAAATAATAAGAAATGTTTCTGTGTTGCATAATATTTGATTGGTGGATGTTTCACATTTTATTGGAAATTCCATAATCAGGAACCACTGTTCATAATATCCTACAATACTGCAATGAGGCAGTGAAGCAGAATTATAAGTATGGCTTAGGTTTTCAATAATACTTAAGCTTTGGTGAATTTCAGTTTATTCTAGGGTTTGTTCTATGTATCTATTACCCAGTTCTGATGGCAGCTTATCAATAGTGTGCAGATAAATGTGTAAAAATTAAGACCAGAGCACAGATTTTTACCCTGAAGAGATCACAGTAATAACCAGTACAGTAAGTATGAGCACTTGCATAAAGTTAAGCTTTCACCGGATTCATTGTTGAAATGATCTCAAGTAGTTCAACATTTTAACTGTAAGTCAAATCTTGCAAAAAAACAAAAAAAAAACAAATGGTGCATAGTAATTTTAGAAGAACCACAAAGATCATCTGCTGTATGAATAATTAGATACGTACACTGAAGTAGATCACAGTACAGGCAACAGACACCAACCTTTCCCTCCACACTTAACAGTTCCTAACATTTGAAACCTCTTGATTATACCATATGTTCATCTTGCCACATGCTCACCGGCGTTTATAGCATAAACACTGCAAACCTTTATTTATAAAATACAGATAGGAAACATCCAGTCGAAATACTGCTAGTGCATTAATAGAGATGACCTTGAAATCATGTTTGGCCAGGATGGCTGATGCAGAGGACAAAACAAAACCTTTTCTAATTTCAGAATTAGTGTCCAAAGACAGACAGCAGGCCTAGTGTGATGTGAAGTTTATAGCTCTTTAGCATCACTTTCTCCCAAGCAGCAAGACCATGGTTTCTCAAAGCAAGCAGAATACCTCCTATTTAGTTTTGGACCAGCTTCAAAATGGTGGCAAAGTGCAGAGTTGCCTGCAGTGATTGTCACCTGTCTTTTGTGTTAGAAGACATTCCAGTTTGCCCCAGGAGGGTCTTTCATGATCCATCCTCCAGCAGGAGGCAGGCTAGAGGCAGCTTATCCTCCTCAGGGCTGTGCATGTGGCCTAGCAGATTGCCTGAGGTTGGTTCACATATGTTTAGCCAGTTAAATCATGCTTTAATGAGCACTGGTGCCTTTAGGCTGGCGTGAAATGTCTTTCAGGCAGGACAAGTTCACACCTGACTTTGGAGCCAGTTGCGAGGATCAAGTCTGGCCCTGAGGTTCCTGAGGCTGCGTCGAGCCGGGGAAGGCCTTGAGAAGGGGGCTCCCTCAGATGACTCAGGGCTGTGGCTGCCCTCACTGTTGCTGGAGCTGTTGCTTGAGGTGGAGCTGGAGCAGGAGAGCGTGGTCTGTGTGCTGCGCTGTGACCGAGGTGAACAGGAAGAGATGGGGAGTGGGGTGAGCAGCGAGGAGGGCGGAGGCTGGCAAGGGCACTGAAAGGTCCCTCCTCCTCCGTATCCCCTCCCTCGAAGGGTGCTGAGCTTAGCATCCAGCGACAGAGTGCGTGGCCTCAGACGGGAGGGGGATGATGACAAGAGAGAGAAGTTTGAAGAAGGCTCGGGCCAGCCGTGACGTTGAGAGCAGGGACTGGTGCTGCAGTGGCTGTCACTGTCTGAGGTCAGGCTTGCATCTGAGGACAGCAGACCCAGCTGTGGGCACCTGTGAGGGCTCACAGGGCTCCGGGGAAGTCGATGAGGGGTGCAGGGGCTGTGGCCAGAAAGGCGAGAGGTACAGGGACGGGGGCGACCAGCGCTTTGGGGGTTATTCTCGTCAAACACAGACATCCATGTGGGGGAGGTGCCCAGCTGGCTGCGGAGCTCCAGCTCCTGCATCCTCCGAGCCAGGATATCTGACACAGTGCTACTGAGGTCATCAGATGATTCAATAACTGCAGGAGAGATTCAGCAAAACTTATCATTATACTGCTCTATACTGGGCTTGAACCTGTTTTTTCCAAGAAATTTATTAATCTGACAGATTTCTAGAATTGGTTTTAGCATAAATATGTTTTTTTATAAATTAAGTTCTTACTATTTGACACATGAATGGGTAATCCAGTCACAATTTGTGATTCATTTTAAATTCTTTCTAACTATTTTTCAAATTTCTAAGGCAGTGCAGGGATTATGGAATTTAAATTTAAAATTGAAGAATATTTTGATCTCACTTGAAGTATGGATTTAGACACGTTTGCAGTTTGTGAAATGTTACTTTGAAATGTTACCCTTGAATTCATAAGGACATCTGCAGTGAGATTAGAAGCATCGACATTTCTTTTTTGTGTAGTATTGCATTTTACAGTTGTGCAGGATAATTTAAAAAGAACAAAAACAAATTGTGTTTTGGACATGTCTTAATGATTGTGTTCATTTTGCTGAAAGATGATGAAACAAAGAGATCCTGTCCTGTAATTGCAGAATCTACTCTACTGATCCTGGATTTGCAGTTAGTCCTGGACTGCAACATTTACCGGAACATAATTTGTATGGAGCCCTACTCCTGTTACTTCACCTGTCGTTGTAATAGGACGAGAGCAGAGCACGAATCTCAGCAGACACAGCGTTATCCTGCAGCAGAAGACCCTCACAGGAGGGTGTGGCAAGAGGGGCTGCCAAGGGGGGTTAGGAAAACCGAGAGGGAGGTTGGGGAGAGAGAAAGGGTGGAGTGGATAGGAGGTGTGCAACAGGTGGAGTTTCGTTGTTATGTGTTTTGATAGTCGTGACAGAAATCGATAGGGGGTTGATGCGTTTTTATTGAGGAAATGAATGTTAAGGCGTGATGATAGAACAAAAAGACATTCGTTCAAGGATAAAGATAATTCGCTCGTTAAAAATTAATAGTGAAAGTTGATGAAAAATGTGGCGTTGATCATGAATAATGTATGAGGACACAAGGAAATAATAAAGAAGGACAAAAGAGACAAAGCCAAAGAGTGATGGATTCAGGACACACAGGGAAAATTGAAAAGGACAAAGAGGGACAGAGAAACAAAGGACAGCGTGAGTCAGCGTGTCAGAGATAAGGCCCATTCTATCTACAGTACAGAGAAGTAAAGCAGCGTGAGTTTGAAATATGAGAGAGGAAAAATTTAATTGCCACAGCATCTCTCATGCACATGGACCCAAGGAAGAATTAAAGCTACACACAGTCACATGCAATGCGGGCACAGTGCTTTCTTTCCCTGCCTTTACTTTTCCAGATAAAAATGACCAAAAATGTTTTTCTGACCGCATATCCACAGTGATATAACCAGGGAGAGGTCTTACCCATTTCGTGATAGAGTGAGCCCTGTTTTGGTGTAACAGGAGCCGGTTTCCTTGGCGATGGCAGTTCAATTTTCATTAGGTCATCACAGCACTGCTTCCATTGGCCTGTACGTTGGAGAAAAACTGTCACTTTCAAGGCTCCAGTCCTTTAAGCAGCTAGGGTAATATATGTCAGTGACTGTATTTAGTGGGTGTATCACATACACTTCCTCTATACTTACTCATGTCATAGAAATGTTGCCAAAAAGCTTCCATCCACCGGTGCGTGTCCTCGCGGCTGTCTGTAGTCAGTGTGTGTGTGACCTCCTCACCTCCATACTGGTTACTGATACAAATATTCTGAACTTTACTGTGAGGGTCTTTCTCTGACGCACGTATTCTGGTCTCCTGAAACACGGGAGCAACAAAGAATACAATCATCTACCACAAAATGACTACAATCAAGAACGAATGCCAGTACTCCTGAATGAACAAAATTATGTGCTGCAACAAGTGATCATTACGGCAATTGTAATTGTGAGTCCCCACTGAAAATAAGCCCTCACTAATAAAGCCA